GCGCTGCGCGGCGCGGCGCGGCTCGCGCGCCGGAGGCTGCGCGGCGGCCGCGCAGGGGCGGCGGCCGGGTCGCACGGCGGCGGGATGGCTGCCGAGATCACCGTCGTTACCTACAACGTCAGAGGTGTCATGGACCGCTGGCCCGAGCGGGCCCCGATTTTGAAAAGCTGCATACGACAGCTGGACCCCGACGTGATCTGCTTCCAGGAGGTTCTGACAGGTGAGACCTGGGGCTGCAGGACGAAACATGCATGCCAACATGGCGTTTTTTTGACGGTTTGTGTGAGCAAGTACGGATCTATCAGAGGCGTGGCAAAATCTGTTGAACGTGTGGGTTTCCAGATGAGCTTTGTGCTGCCGCCTGGCCATGAAGGGTCTAGGGAGTGACGCAGCAGCGGGCCGGGGCGCAGGGCAGATGGATCGCGTCGGGATCGGCGGTGGATCCTGTCGCTTATCACGCTCCCATCACCATCGCCCACCGCTTGTACAAGTACGGGAATTCTAGCAGCGGTGTGCATTTCAATGCCCCACATCGCGCAGGCGAGTTCAGGCAGGACCGGCAGCTCGTCGGCGACAGCTACTCCATTTTCGAATGCCGCGCCGCCCTCGACGCCGTCGCGACCAGCGGCGCCCCCGGCGCCGCCTACGCCTCCGCCGCGCGCGCGCTGCTCGCGCTCGGTGCGTGCCGCGGCGCGCTGCTCGCGGCGCCGGCGGCGGTGGAGGGGCTGCGGGAGGCGCGCGACTACTCGGGAAGCTTCTGGCGGACGCTGCGTGACGTCAGCATCTCACCCTTTTTTGGCAACTCAATCGCGAGCCGCCTGCCGGTGGTTGCAGCTGCAGCAAACGCGCCTGGTGGGCACGCATATGACAACGGCAAGGGCGCGGCCGGTGGCGGCTCCGGCGTTTGGGCGGGGACGCTGGCCCTGGGAAGCTTCCGCGCGGCCCAGCGGGTCTGCTTCGATCTGTCTCCGCGGCTTCCGAGATCCGCGGTCGGCAGCCCCGGCGCCAACGGCGGCGGCGGCCGGGCGGGCACGGGCGGCGACGGCGGGGGGCCGGTGACGCCGCCGGCGACGCAGGAGTTTCGCAGCAGCAGCGGCAACGGCAGCGGGAAAGTGGGCGGGGGCGGAGGGGCCGGAGGTGGTGGTGGGGCGGGTTTGAGGATGTGGGTGGTCAACACCCACCTTGACCATGCGACAGCGGAGACCCGAGAGGCGCAGGCGCGGGTAAGAACAGGCGGCGCTGCTGCTGGACCGTCGGGTTTGAAAACGCTGGGGTTTGGGGCGAGGCGAGGGATTTTCGGGCTCGGTTGGCGGCGGTTTTAGAGCACCACTGCCTGGTGTTTCATGGGTATGGAGCACTGCGTGTTTCTGTCCCTGCTTGGCAATGCATCCACCACCGCCAAGACAGTCCCATGCAAATGCAAGGCGATTGCTCAGAGGCTGTTCCTCTTGCCAAACACTCGCCGGGCGCCTGGCCGATACAAAAATCTCCCGCAGGCCATCATTTCGTGGATGGAGCCCGCCAAGTCAGCGGCCGGCGTGGCCGGCGTAGTCATCACAGGCGACCTGAACGCGCCGCCTGGCGAGGCCACCCACGCCGCGCTGCGGGCGGCCGGCTACCGGTCCGCACACATGGTGGGGCCGCATGCACCCTGCTTTTTGCTGCGGGCGGCGGGCCGCCGGGCCGCTCACTTGGTGGGGCTGCATGCCCCCTGCTTTTCACGCCTATGGCTTTTTGGATTTCGTCTGACGGCTTGTGTGAACGTTTTTTGCCGAGCTGACACCTCACAACAAAAAGGTTCACACATAAAGCCAGCAGACAAGCTAAGGATGCTGTGATGTTGTGTATTGATTGCTGTGATAGTGTTATCGTCAGGGCGGCCCAGGGGCATCGACGCCGTGTAGAATATTTGGGGTCAAATGGGGGTTCCGCTAGACATGGCCATGTTTTGGTGCTGACCTTGCCCCTCGCTTTGCCCCCACCAGCTCGCCAACGGGCGGGAGCCGGACGTCACATGGCCTAGCGGATTGGTCGCGCCACTCATGGATAAGGTGGGGTCTCACACGGGGTGGCCGGCTGCGGACGCATGGGAGGTGCAGCCGCCTGCCACAAGGCGCGTGCGCACACTGCGGAGCCGGTTGCTGGCCACAACGAGGGTTGCGCCGGCTCCGTTTTGGACCGCGTTGCTGGCCTGCCGGTTGCCTTGATGCACGCGCGGTGTGTATGTGAGAGAGAGAGAGCGGAAGGGAGAGAGTGTGCGTGCATGTGTGTGTGTGTGTGTGTGTGCGTGTGTGTGTGTGTGCACGCTCGCACGCGCGCGCGGAGAGCGTCTGTGCGCGTGTCAGTTTGTGTGCGCCTCCCCCAGTCTGTGTGTAGACAGCCAGGAGGGAGCCCTGACTGCCGTTTGGTGTATCTGCTTTGTGACCCGGACCCCGTTGCTGCTGCTGCTGCTGCTGCTGCTGCCGCTGCTGCTGCTGCTGCTGCTGCTGCTGCTGCTGCTGCTGCTGCTGCTGCTGCTGCTGCTGCTGCTGCTGCTGCTGCTGCTGCGGCGGCGGCTGCTGCTGCTGCTGCTGCGGCTGCTGCTGCTGGTCTTACGATGCACCACCATTATCCCTCATGCCTCATCAAACGTGTGCGTCATCCCATTCAAACTATGAACCCCCAACCCAGGGGGAGCCCCATTGCGCAGACTATGTCTACGTTTGGGCCGCCCCTGGCTGCGACGTCAGAGTGACGTCAGCACGGGTGGCCGGCGACGCCCCGTCACCCGACGACGCCACGCTGTACCCGTCGGACCACTTTGGCCTGCGGGTGACGCTCGCAGTGTCGCGCCGGTGACGGGCCCGCACCCTTAGTTGCTTGTCCGCTCGCGTGCATGCTCAGCTGCATGGCCGCGTGTGCACCTAAACGTTTTTGGCCTTTCAGCAGCCTCAACACTCTGGCGGGGTGACCCCACTTTTGGGCTCCTCTCCTCAGATTTTGGGAAACTTGGAACACTGAAGTATTGTGGGTTCTGCGGTAGTAAATACAATCCACCAGCACTTTCTGCATTTGGCAAGCTGAAACTTCTGACAATCAAACGGGGCGTGTGAGATCCTAGCATTTTACGCCATGATATGTTGAATTGGCACTGTTGTTGACTTAGTTGTAGGGTAATCGAGACAGGAAGTCTGCTGACTCTCAGTGACATTCGTCATTAGGGTTTGCCTTCAAGTTTCATGCTCAAATCATGCAGCTTTTTGCAAACTTCACCTACATACAATGCAGATATCCACGACAAAGAGGCAGCCTTGGACTCGGAAGAGTTTGGTCAGCACCCGTTGACCGGTCTGAAGAATAGAAAAAAATTATGTATTGCACACCAGCAAGCTTGCCAAGCGCAAGATACCAGTTTTGATGGCGTTTGTTGTAAAGCCTTTACTATGTGGCCTTTAATATGTAGCTGTTGCACTGATGAGTAGCTCCTAGCTAGCGGTGGCGCTTGCAGCACGAGCAGCGAGCAGGGGGTGCACATGAGCGCAGTGACGCTAGGTGACGCGCTGAAGGCAGCAGGACGCGGTAACTGTAATCCCAATTGCAATCATATCGAGTTTCAAAAGTCACCTCACGCGTCGTTGCACCTAAGGGCAACACCGTGGAATTCCGTAGGTGGACAGAAAGATCAGCGATGCTGCAGCACCAGCGAGGCCCTGCGGGGCAATTGTCGAGAATTAGACGTCAACGAGCAACGCCGCGGACCATAGCTCGCAGCGCAACGACGCCGGGGGTGCGTGGCCGCAAGCAGTGCACAAGGCTCGCGCGACGCCGCAAGTGGAGGGGCAGGGGCCCATCTCTGTATGAGGCCAGCACGCTTTGGCGATGATGCAGCGCAATCTTGTATACATAGCACAGCAAAAGCATGTTCACTGCAACCAGACTGCCAGCAGCAGCGGAAGTCCCGTTTTGCCCGGCACCATGCATGACCACCCCGCAGCTTTCAGCACCCTCACCACTGCCGCCTCGCCCCCCGTCCCTCTCCCTGTCCCTCTCCCTCGCTCCCACGCCCACGCGGCTCCCAGGTTTCCCAGCGCGTGCTGGCGACAGACCCGCCAGTGATAGTGAAAACCAAGCAGATGATGGCGGGCAGGGAGGGGGTGCTGTCGCTGGCTCAGGGAGTGGTGCACTGGTGGGTGGTGCGGTACCGCTTTGCGGCGGTACAAACATGCCCCGGTCATCCGCTTGTGCAGCACGGGTTCTCAGAAAAACCCTCAGGGCCGGTCACTGTTTTCACAGCGGCCTGCAGCATGGCAAGTTGCGGCAAGGCGGCAGCCTTCTATCATTCACCGGGCGACCGCCCTCGGCCCTTGCCAGCAGCCGCGGGCGGGGCTTGTTCGGGGGGCAGGGGGCGGGCAGCTGCGCGGAACCTGCGGGAGCAGCCGCTAGCAGCGCGCCGGCCGTCAGCCGCAGGGCTGCGCCGCGGGGGGCTTCCTCTTCTCTCGTTTGCCTTGCCTGCGGGCGTCGTCATCGCTGAGCTGGATATGCATGTCTAGTGTCTTCCAGTGTGGTGCAAGGGATGCTCCGCAGCTGCCCCAACCCAACCCCACGCTGCGCACGCATCCCCCCCCCCCCC